GAAGGATTTTTCCCGCTGGCCAATTAATGCCCGAAATTTGAGGGGACCGCAGCGGTCATCAAACAACCCTGATTGGGTTTATGATTAAACCAATACTCCTCGAAGTAGGGTAAACACATCGGGGCCACATGGTAAATAATCCGCACGAATGCGAACACTGCGAGCCACAGTCTGTCGGCCCCTGACGAAATGGAATAAGAATTAACGTGATTAGCTGCTGCCTTCAATTAACTTATGTGTGTTTATAATAAACGCAGCCGCAGAGTTGTTTGCCCAAATCGATACAATGCATTGATTCACATTCAGATGCAAGAGGAGGTGAGAAATATTTCACATTGTTTTACAACGTTAACGATTGGTTGTCACGTTCACTTTTTCATCGCTTGTTGCTACGAGCATGACGCTTTTTTTTCGTACTTGGGAATAAAGTAACGTGCTTTAGATTATATTCGTTTGATACGTTTTTTCTCGTCGACACACACGCCCGGCCGGCACGTACGTACATATGAGCATTCAAAATGAAATAATATTATATGGGAATAATGAGAATAATCCTTTTCCATCCATCCTTTATTTTAAACCGGAAACGCACCGCCGCGCGTTGAAACGCTACGTGAGAAGTTACACACGCGTCTGGCTGACTCGTCTTGAGATGTTCGGATAGGTGTGCGACTCAGTAAGCACAAAGTTGAGTAGAAAACGTGAAAATCAATAGCGCGACTTAAGCGTAGAGTTACACTTTGGTGGCCCGCGTGCCATTAGAGCGTTTTTGAAAAACGAGAAAGCCGGTCGTTTTATCAAGTTTGGTTTTCGGTTGCGACATCGTCGGACGTTTCGTAACGTACACCTGTGTGTACGTATCGACGAATATTTTCCCAAAAATAAAACAACAACGCAAGCTATACCACGGGGAGACACTTTAATTGTTTCTGTGTGTTGATGGGACCGTCGGTAATTTAAGCGGTGCGCCGCGCCACGTATTGTAACAATTTGTATGTGGGTCGTTTTGTTCGCGACTCTCCTCTATTGTCTGAAGTGTCCTGACGACACTCCTCGTCATATTGTCGCCTCAACACTCACACTCACACCAAACACGTGTGCCTTTTCGCGAGCAGCGACTTCTACCATGTCATTACGTTTCGATTTTGCAATCCATCGACAATAAGAAAGAATCTCAAACAAAACAATGGAGGTGAGCATAGCGCATAACTTTTTGTTGGTTAATTAAGAGTGTTTTTAAACTTGCTGATTAAAAAAGTAAAATCGTTCGAACGATAACAACCGTGATAAGCTTGAATAACTGGTTTATAAGGTATGAACGCTTCGTTCGGGGCAGATGATTTCAATTCGGTTGCAAATGCAGCGATGTGGAAACTTGGAGTGTTCACAACCGAAACGTGGATTCAATTATATTAACTTAAAAGCTAAAAGCACCACACACACAAATTATTGTTAAGTTTGGAAAATATATTGGACAACGATATTGGGCAACTCCCAGCATTCTCATTTATTTTCGTTGGCACACGCAGTTATGCGCTATTTAATGGCCACGACTCGCTTCGTTAAGACCAATAGATGCTTTTTCGTATTTCGACTTTGAGAATTTACTACTTGTTATGTTGGACAACGACACCACAGCACACACCTGTTTATTTGGTCACTCCGACGACGACGACGACGAGAAACAGTTATCGGCTCGGATAACGCTGTGAAACGTGTGTCGTATCGGCGACGGAATTACGAAACTCTCGAATTCGGTAAAATATTAAAGAAATACAAGCGCGGCATTAAATGAAAATCCTCATCCGGCGCGCTGAAACTTGTCTAGCAATTTTCTCATTTCGCGGAGGTAAATAGAAACACACGAGTGGATATAATAGGCGACGGTATAAGCTGCGGGAATGAGCGCATAAGTATCGGAGGTGGTGGCGGCGTGCGCGTTCGGTAAAAGGGTAGATTGCGAGTCTGAAAGATCTCGTTAGTATTTATATGTCCCTTGAGAAGGTTGCCGTCACACCCGTGCTTTACCCCATTACCGTGGGGCGCTCCGATAGCGACAAGCGTGGCGATGTGGCGGCGCGGCGGTGGCGCTATAGAACGTCCGCATCATCCGAATCCCGCAACGTGCACGCACCCACCAACATCGAATGCGCGAGGGCACTTCATCATTCCAAAACGAGCAATGTTGTTATCAGTTCCATTTTGCACCCCACCCGCCACGCTCTCGTAATTGATTAATTTTAATTCGTTATTATCTAGCAGATAACTCGTCGAAATTTAAAACATACTGTAATTAAGATGGAATTTTGCAAATAATAAAATAATTTTCTGAGGAAATGTTGGGCAGAGTTCAGATTGCGGATTGGATTATCAATTTGAATGTTCAGTGAATGCCACACGGAACGAACGTGTTTCGGCGCTGGATGGCGGCGAGGATTGGCCCGATATAGCCGCCCCGGAGTTCAGTTCGCCGGTGCGAGGGTAAAAGTTATAGGAGCGCTTTGGCGCGCGATACGCCGCCGCCGCCATCCAGAGAAGTACTAGTCGGCGAGCTGTGCGGGGTTATCAAAACTTTTGTATTTTATATGCAAATTAAATATGACTTTTGTTTTATTAAATCTAATTCCCGGTGCAACATTTATCGAACCGAAATCCGGCTCAGGTCTTTATGCGCGCGGCAAAACGTTAACTAACCAAGCTACGACTTTTAAATTCGCCCCCACTAGTGCCAAAAATAATCATTTTTATGTTGACAAGTAAAAATATTACATCTCGATGCGTCTGGTGTCAATAAATTAAATGTATAAACACACGTTGGCAGCGAACCGGAAACGCAACCTACTATTATATCGACGAAGCAAAACGACATCGCCGACCGAAAATAATAATAATAGTGGATGTGCATTATGATACCGCGCGGGCGGCGGGCTGCGGGGCGGCGGGTGAGCGCGCGCGAGAGGAGAACCACCCACACGCCGGCGTATCGAACACGTAGATATGAATGGACGGCTTCGTTCCAGCTCCATTCGTTACTCCGCGCTCGTTCGACACCCTCTTGTGCGCTCATAAAGGCGCGCGCTAGACGCATTCAAGCACGGCTATTGACGTATTATATAAGTACGTGGACGTGCATATTTTACACTCAATTATGAAATGATGTGCACTCTCAACCAAGACCCTTTCTCGCCGAGTGCCAAACACCACATGTGCGTGTACACCTAATGATGGCGGAAGAACAACACTGACCAATGTTACGATTCATAAAATTTTCGACAAATTGTTTACAAATTAAATCAGCACCGCCTATCTTTTATTTAACACAATGTTAAGTGTTTAAATTTGACTCCATTACATTTCCATTAATCGAATTAGGCAGAAAAAACATCTGATTAATATTTAAAGTGTATTTATGAATTCATATTTAATAACATACCTGCGCCACATAAATTATATATCATTATCATTCATTCAGTTTTCATTAAGCTTAGTCGGGGCGAAAATTTGTCGTTTCGCGGGAAATAAATACCTGTTCGTACTTAATGCAGTGTGGAGAAGAATTCCACAAGAGAAAAAAATCATTTGTCATTCATTTAAATATTTACCTGGCTACCAGGCCGGTGGCTGGCGGTGGCACGAGCCGACCGCACCGATGTAAATGAGATTAATTATTTGATTAAAATATTTATGTTATGCAAATGGTTCGCATATAATTCGAATTGTTAATAAATCGTAAAATCGCTTTTATTTTATAGTCGTGCAGGCAGGTATGTTTAGTTGTTTGATTAACAAGTGTAATATTTATAACCTCAATCACTCTAATTAGTGCTGCTAAATACATTCGCGGCGCGCGCAATTAAAATACCTCAGACGTTTTTCGTCCCAAATAGAGCCATAAAACGAAAAAGAATTCTAATGTTGATAATTTGATCGGAGCTGTACAATGTTGGCTGCACCCAGCCAGCTCTTAAGTGCAATCGATCACACAACCAACGGAAGACAATAGATTGGCTGATGTTTAATTATTAAGCGCATTTCTTTCGGTATGCGGTGATTTATGACACAACTTTTTAATATAATAAATAGTTTATTGACAACATGTGGAGTGGTTTTTTTTCAGCCAGCATTTTATGGCAATCGTGCCACTCAATTTGTTTTAATATATTCCAGAACGAATTAGCGTAGCAAGAGAAAAAAGCAGCAAGCGAGCACCATAAATAGTTGTTGACACAGTGCATTAAATTCGAGATTCTTGAATTTGAATAATTATGTAATTTGGTTAATTTAACATCTTACATACCTACCTACCCCGTACAGGGCGAATGTGGTTCACGCGCGAAGCGGTAAAACGCAAATGATAATGATGTAATGAAATGCGAAGGAGTGTCGGAATTGCGCATGCAGAAAGCGCACGCTGGACATGACATTGACGATTGTTAAAGATATTGGAGTCACGCATAAACGGTATACGTTGACTACCTCCAGCAAAAATGTGATCAACAAAAAGGATCTATTTTTGCCGGTGCATTCGCCCAATCGCAGCGCATTTTTGTTTTTCTTTCCTCCAGCCGTGAAGTGAAGAGCGACCACAATCGTTTTATATGTTAATAAATAAACGCAGCAATGTCGCGCTGCGTTTGATTTATGAACGTTATAAATATCCGCGCGTTTCGTTAATACCTATCATTGGTAGCAGTGACATAGAAAATGCAATTGTCATCGATTATTTCACCTCTTCTCGCTGGAATGTACGGTTTAATTGAGAATTAGAGACGAATTCGTGTTCTACTCGCCGATGTGACTTATCACGGTGTGTTGGCTCCACGATGATGATAAATGTCACAAGGTAGCTGGCTTGGCTTGCGTTAGAGGAATCGAGCAATCCAATGTCTATATCATAAATATATCTAATAGTTGTGCAATGAGCCACGTAGGCAAATGCAACCGACTTAAGTCGCAGTTGAGCGGCGCGGCGCGCAGAGAGCTTGGATTTGCAACGCGATAGTTTATTTATGACCTGTCGGTCCACTTGGCTATGTGCGCGTGTGTGTCTTGGCTATTCTACGATTGCCATTCCACTATTTCACTATTACTTCATGTTTTCGTAACGTGTGCGCCGGGCTGGAGACCTAGACGCGTGTGTCTCGCGAGTATATAGCATTTCGTCCGCTTCTTCCGCGTGTCCATCCAAGGCCGCAATGTGCGCTTCATACTTAAACGCTCTAGTGTTATGATACTGGATGTTGTAAATGATTCATTCGGAATGTGCTAAAGCTGAACATTTAGTGGTCTGCGGTGGGTATTAAGATGGACTTGGTCTATAATGTAACAAAATACAACAATGTTTGTAGAGGACACCATCCCCACTCCACATCGAATGGAATGTTCGCTTATCTTGCAAGGTGTAAAACGAGGTAAACATGGGATGAACAACATTCCAGTGCAAATCGCAAAGGAAATTGTAATATGTTAATAGAAAGTAATGTTATCTCCCTATCATAAATAAATGACGTAAAGTGGAGCTGGACGAGATAATAAATAAGCGAGTGCAATTTTGGAATTTCTTCGCATCGCATTGCAATAGTTGGTTTTTTCCGCGGTTTGCAGCGCCGAGTTGTTGTTGTTTGAATAATGCGCGGTATTTGCCAATCGTCATGTATAGACTCACCTACGGACATGAGCGTTCCCAACGTGCGCCGAACGCGCAAACGTTTTCAACAGTTACCGCGCCGCATTCGGTTTATCCGCGCCATTAGTATGGATGAGTGATAACCGCGCTTACCTCGGGCCGGCATCAAGGCCGCGCGCTGGGACGCGGCAGCGCGCCTAGACACCTTTTATAAAACCGTCCACACGAATGAAAACACCTACACGTTCTGCGCATTCAAACGCCGTGTGCCACTCGCAGCACTCGCGATGAATCCAACTGCCAATATTTAAATCTTTGTTTTCTCCACGCAGGACCCAACTAACTCATTTGCAATCAAGTCTCATATCAGTTGGAAGCTGACCACGCTGATGTTTGGCAGCGTGTGAAAACGTTGAATAGTTTTATATTCCGGATGTCCCAAGCTCCAAGTGTCTGTCTTCCGATGGTTTATGGACTTTCTATTGCGCTATCCACGCACGTCTGCAATAAACCATGACATTTTCTCCAAAATCGACAAAAGTTGCGTAATCCACGAGAACAAGAATTCTTTTAATTCCGCGCCGCGCGCCGTTCAGATAACAACCGAATATCCACCTGTACACCATTGCCCAACACACATTACCAAATACAGTTAGAAATATCGATGTGACCTCGTGGAAAGGGTCAGGCTTGGACTTTTCCTGGGAATGTTTTTTAGGTAAAAACATTCGAAATTTCAACTCAAGTTGCTGCTAGATTTCAACGGTAGATTAGACTGCACACACATATAGGAATATTTACTATTGATGTTGCATTCATTGGAATTTTATGCTCTTGATAAACACGCCCGCAGATTGCGTGGCAAATTCGAGACATCCTGATGATCTCCTCAGCCGGCCGCGACGCGAGTTAAAGACACCATTTAAGGAGATCCAGTGTAAATAAATTACGCTAGCGTGGTGTTCGCGGCGGGGCACCTATCAACTTCTCGAAATATTATTGCACACACAATCCGCGTGCTGCGTATTCGCACATACATGCGCCTAGGTACTTGTTAGCTCGCGCAGGTACATTGAAAATATATGTTCGGGTTAAAACGAATTGATATAAGACGCCGGGAATGACTCGGGTACAAGTTGGCGCGCGGCTCCACCACGCTCCGGGTTGGGTTATTTATTAATTTAGTTATCACGTTGTAACGATTTCGTAGCGACGCTACATGTTTTATCGCCAACAAGTGTAGAGTAGCCGGCGTAGCTGTTGTAGTCTGTGTTGTTCGGCGATGATTTATTTTTTTTGCGCCCGCCACGAAACAAGTAAAGTACACATGGTTATAAACCATGTGCGGAATGAAGACACTGTAAATTTTCACATTCATATATATAATTGATTTACTCCGGCGACGCGGAATTTGTACGAGCTAGTTTTATTGGCTGTGCTTGAATGCGTGAATGCACTGTCCCTTTGCGGTCAGTTTAATGCGATAAAAGTCGCATTATAGTCGCATTTTTGTGTAATGAATATGTATAAACGAAATAATTCACGGCAGGTAAAACAGCGCACAATGCGGTGAGCACGGTGAGCACTTAAAGCCCGCCATTGATATTTATAAGTTTACCGGCGAATATAATGGCGCAGTCGAAGAGCAAACACAAATATTTAGTAAGTACGTCCCGTAGACATCCATAGATCTTCTTGCACACCGTTCGATTTCGACAGCCAGAACGCGCTGCTGCGCTGCGATTGATGAAAGATCGAAACGTGTGCCGGAATAAATTAAAAACTCAATGCAGCGCAAGCGAAATTTACCCATTCAACAACTAGGAATCGGTGTGCACTAGTAATTATTATCAACAAATAGTGAGGATTAGCTTTAATTTTCTCGAAATTAGCGTCGTTTAGATCGTTTCGGTCGTGGTGTGTGATAAAGTTGTAAACGAAGTTAATAATTAACAATTTGTTGGTAAATTACGAGCGCAACGTTGTAGCTCCATTAATCATGACCAGCATTTTCGGTTTTTTTTAACCTACCCACCATCAAATCTATTAACAAACTGTAACACACTAGTCCGGCATTGTTTGCCCAAGCGCTCAGAGAATGGCCAACAACACGTAAGTGCAGGCAGCTGTCTAAAACCCAAATGGACCCATCACCACAATCCAGCTCCAGGTCCGTTCCTCCGCCTCGTCATAATCATTATCGCCGTCTAAACGGTGGATGATTGACAAGCGTAAAGTGGGCATTTTTCATGAATCAACCGATCGGGCCATAACTGACTCCGTCTGAAACGATTGAATCATAACTGAATCGCCTCGAATTACGACTCGTTACGTAAAAGTTGCCGTGAGGCTGTATGTAACGTCTAGTTTGACCGGAGGGTAGCTTGACCCAAATATGGACCGAGCAAACCAGAATCTCCTATCTGCCAAGGTATCCCGAATCCCACCTAGATACTCTGAAAGAAGTTATGTTATAGACAAGCAACCGAAGGGGAAGCGGACGTTTACACAATGCCAGTGCGACTGTGAGAGATCGCTGAGATGACCGTTGGTCCATTCGAGGCGCAACATGGACAAACACGTTTAATATAAAAGTATTGCTAGCTGCGCTGTCCCAGGTATAATCTTTTCTCGTCAAGATGGTTAATTGTAGCAGCGCGGAGCAAAAGGAGTCACAAATGTGCCGCACAATACAAAACGGGAATTCTGTATGGGAGTAATGTGTGGTGAGTGTTCTTCGTGAGATTTATTGGAAACCCTCCAACAAGCCCAGTAAACATTACAATTGTTTGGAAAGGGTAGAAATTTTCTCGCAACATCGCTTGACCATTCTGTGCGTAACGACTTTTCCGATGAGTGGTGTGGTGTGGTACCACTTGCAGATGCTCCCAAGTTGTGGGGCATGTTTTTTCTCAATTAGATGCCAAGTCAAAAATGTGTTACGGCTTACGAAATATGCTCGTACGTGGTGGCACAAAGGAAGGTACGTGCGGTACGTGGAGAGCTGCAGATTTCGATTCATCTGCAAAGGGCTGCATGCTGGAAATTTGGAATATATCGTATCACGTCGACACCACACCACAAGACATTTCGAGCAGACATGTTGACGCTAGCAGCCATCTACCTTCGTCAAGATTGCGTTAGGTTTTTCTCTCTGTTTCGACACGAAGCGCAAAAATTGGTGTTTCTCGAGATTTTTATCGCCGCGCGCGGGCCAACAATGTCAGAAATATTCTAGGCAGTGTTCATAATTCTTCGGGCACTCGGATAGGCAATAGCCGAAATGTACCACACGTGTCCGCGGTTCCCCAGACAAAGGTCAAAGTGGTTATAATTTAACATTTTTTTCGCATTTCGTTTTCTCGCGCTGACCTCGAATTATGTTTTATGTCAACGAGGAGAGGTCCATCCGAGAGTCGCGCAGATCACCTGGCACGCTCTCCGCCAGCGAGCGCGCGGCATTAGATGTTTAACGATAAAAACATATAATATACTGAACGACCGGTCCATGTTCTGCGGGCCCCGTTCTCCGCCGCTGCTGCTGCGGCCGACACGTCGTTTTCTAACTTGTGTATGTGTGGCAGAAGAGCCGAAAAAAGCGAGGTGACATACTCTCACCAACACACTCGCACGCACACCTAGCATGTAAGTTGTGACGCACCAGGACATCGGATCTTTGACGCTTTGTTCTTTCGCCGACCCTTGTCAGTGTGACCCCTCGACCATTTCAAGCAGGTCATCGCCGAACACACGAATTCCGTGAACAAAAAATACACAAACACACGAAACACAAGCATGCGAGTTGTTTACGAAAATCCGTATGCTTTTTCCTACTAAATCACAGCACCGCGCCCCTGGTTGTTAATTGACGTCCGCGTCTTCTTCAAGTGACACTTATTTTACGAAATAAAATGCGGTTTTTATGTCGCGCGGCTTCTAAGCTGCGCATCGATTGTGCTGCAATATGATCAGTCACCCCTTTTACCATGGGACAGGTGCTGCTGCTTTATTTACAGACTCTTTTTTCGACGACGCATGAGGTTGAACTACCCTTCGGGTAATGTTTATGTTTAATGCTGACCGAGGAGACGAGTTTCGTTGCCCCACAATGGAAAAAAATTGGCACCCAGCTTGTTCGGTGGCTTCGTCTTGTCTTCTTACTGTCATTGCCATTGAACCGATGAAAGCTTCTTGCAAATGAAAAATTAAGTAATCAAACAAATAGTTTTTAAGGGTAGCATTAGATGGGTTGGCGTCCCGTAGAGAGGCAAAAAGCTCAAACGTTAATCTTCACACGTAGCGGCGTGATTTTGGGGCAAAATCGTTCTAATTACAGAGCACTTTTTCAACCAAATACACGCCTCGCTGACGAAAGCGGTAAACAAGAGAACAAAGTGTTATTAGTGATGTATCGAAAGTTTGCGCGCAGGGGACGATGATGGATGAGGCGCATTTTCACACCTCTTTGCGCCGATCATTTCTCACGGCGCGTTTTCCGTCCAAAAAATGGCTGTCTGTCAACGCAAAGAAGGCGCTCATAATCGATGGCCATCAAAGTGCGGTACAAATCGGAAAATTAGCGGCTGGAACAAAACGGCTCGCGCGCATATGTCGTCGTCGTCCGCTACAAATCGATGCCGCACAAAAATCTGTCGCACATGTCGTGTTTCGGGCACACGTCCCTTCAAGCGCACCGAGGACAACCCCGCCGACCACACACACACACACACACGCGCGTATAAAAACCAATATCCCTCGGAATAATCCCGTGTGGGTTTTGGGCGATATCTTTGTGTATATGAAATCCAAAGCCAAAAACGCCACAAGCAGAAGCTTTTCTATTTTCTATTAGATTATTGCAAGTAGGAGTATTTCCGCGCAACTGTCATGCTTTCAGCGTTAAACCTTTAATT